ACCGCACCGCTGAAGCTCGACGTTGACAAAACTTGACAGAAAGAAATTGTAACGGACCCCCCAGGCATAAAGGGGTTAAACCGCCGTTTAGTAGATCTTCCCTTCCAAAGACACAGGCACAGCTACTACAGAACACCAATCGGCCGAACAGGAAACCATATGAATGCCGTAAACAGCCAAATAGGAAAAACCATATGAATAGGTTTACACTCCTGGCAGTCGAACTGGAACAGCATACAATAAATCCCCCCAAGAACGAGACAAAGCTCCGTGTTGAGGGTCAAGCAGCGAACAGTCAGAGCTGTGGGTTTATTGTTCTTATATACACATTAGTAGCACCCACAGGGTTTTGGAAAACAACCAATAAACACATACAATACACTCAGACACTCCCACACAAAATCCTGCCCTCTGCCTGTGATACAATTACCTTACACAATGGGTAATGTAATTATCACCGGCAGAGAAATACAGTTTTTCCACATTATTCATAACTTGAAAAGTATGCATCACATTCACATAAAACTTACATACTCAGCATACTCCAAATACAAACATATGTCAAAATCATCCAAATTGGTCCATTGGTTCAAAAGATAGATCAAAGTCCTTTGTGACCAAATGAAGCATGGCTTTTCTGCCCAAAACCAGTTCCACAGAGTCTTCTATCCTGGAGATAATTGGGAAGTAATCCAATTATCTCCAAGGACAGAGGCAAAACTCCATTGAACACATGGAAGCAAAAGACAATAAAACACATACAAACATATAACTGTGCAGCCATTGCACAAAACAGGTACATTCAACATATCCCCAGATAGCTCAGATCTGAGCGCACATTATTACTGAATGGTGCTCAGAGCACACACATACAGTTCAATTGCCATGGAGCCAAAGTCTTTCCCATAGTCTTTCATTATACGAATGGGCTCCATGGCATAGCTATCTGGGGTATCACCGCTCAAACAGGGCCAGCACCGAATGACCTGGCTTTCGTGTCTTCGCAGGGGAAAATCAAGCGTTTCAACATGGGGCCATAGTCTAAAGGCAGCAGGTGGGCAACTAGGCTCCTCCAAAGCACAGTGGCGAGATTGGTCTTGTCACAGCAATGGTTTTGGGAATCATGGAATCTTATCATTCACCATGCGAATTGGACTATGGAGGGTCCCACAGTATCTTACACAGACCTCTAAATTGCAATGTCACCTTTGAGGTCTTTGCACAATATGCAAATACCCCCACACCATGTATAGTGCCATAAATCAAAACTTTC